AGATTCCAGGTCCGGACGGCAGAGGGATGGCTCAGTCCCTCTTAGGAGGGAGTCCCCAACCACCACCCATCATTTCCTTTTGGGCGTGGTGGCCGTGGAACCCCCATCCATAGGACTATGCATCCCATGCCTTCCAGTAGATGGTGTTCCTTCTGGTTTCTTCCTTGTGAGGTCCCTTCCAGAGCTTTCAGCACTGCAGAGCCTGTGGAGAGAGCTTGAAAGCGATTGCTTACCTCTATAGCATCGGGGGATTCCCGTGCTGGCCTTTTTCCCCTTCTAGAAGTTACATGCTGCCAGTTCTCTTCTTGGTCACGTACTGCCCTCTTGAAGAATTAAATGCTGCCTTCTATCGAGGAAGTCTTCATCCTCTCTGATCAAGCGTAGGGTCGACACTTGGGCCTCCAGTCCTCTAATTTTTTCTTCCAAAATGTCGACCAGCTTGCCCTTGGTGCAGATGAAATCCGTTCTTTCTTCCGGGAGGAAGACAAACATGGCACACGCTGTGCAGGTAACAACAGCAGACCCATCACCAACCATCGCTGCTGTCCTGGAAAAGGGATTTAAAAAGAAAGACAAGAGAACCTCCCGCCCTTCCCTCTCCCCTTCCAAACTCCCTCTCAAAACTCCCTGTTAGCACTCACCTGTTCGGAAGCTCCTTGGTCACTTGCCCACTGCCTTATAAAGCCCCTCCCCCTACCAAGGCTCAGCCAATCAGCAGAGGCTTCTAGAATTCAAACTTTAATTAGAAGCCAACAGTTTCCACCTGCTAATCACAGCACAAACTCCATCAACGGGAGGGGGAGGGCAGAGGGGAGGTGGGGGGGAAAAAAGCCTCACTCTCAAACACAGGGGAAAATAAATAAATAAATAAACAAAAAACACAAAAGAACACACACCAACCCTCACTCACAAACACAAGCTCAGCACACAGCAAGAAAGCCCCAAACACAACACCCACTTCCCCCAAGACTCCTGTATCTGCTTCTCCTCTACCTGGAGGACTCCCTCTCTAAAGCCTCACTCAAACAGGGAAAGAAAAAAAAAAACCCAACACCACCACACACCAAACAAACACAAGCTCAGCACACAGTAAGAAAGCCCCAATAACAAAACACAATTCCCTTAAGAGTCCTGTATCTGCTTCTCCTTCACCTGGAGAACTCCCTCTCAAAACTCCCTGTTAGCACTCACCTGTTTGCACTCACGTTGAAGCATGATATCAAGGGGAAGTAGGAGAAGCTTGTAATGCCATTGCTTATACAGTGTACTGTAGCAAGAGTTAGATGTTGAATGGATGACCATTCACTGATAGCACAATCAACCAATTGGAAGTTAGCCTATTAATGAAATACAGTTTACTTATAAAGACTTGCACTACTTGCAAAAGCTGACCTGAAAGAAAAGCACAGCAAGTCTGAGATCTAAACATTTCATAATGCAGCAATTCATTTACTACAGTTTAAATGATACTCTTCTCTGCACCCAAATATCTGAGTCATTAAAAACTGTCACTGTTAGTTGTTACAGAGCCTGTATCTTGGGGCACTACATTGGTCTACAACTAAGCTTCATCTGTTGCTTCTGCATTGATGAAGGGGCATAATCTATCATTCTAATACAAGAGATTTAAAAATAGGAGCAAGACAGCTTTTAATTCCAGGCAACATGTGGGTGATCTGTTGATATGCTTCACGGTACACTTAGTCTGAGATAAATGCTCTAATTCCTGGTGAATCTGAGAAAAGGAATGCCCTATTGGTATTGTGGCAAATTTTCTCATCTCCTGCCCCCAGTTCCTTCCCCCGGTACTACTGCAGTTTTCCCTTTTCATATAAAAGTCACTGGGTGGTACGTTAAATCTTCAATGAGATCCCCCACCCCCATTTCTGTATTACACAAGGAAGATGCTACTTTATTAGATTCTTGAACTTTGTCATCAGAGACATGTAGTTAGTCACACTATCAATAGATTACTGTTTGGCTTCTCTTTCATAGTATTAAATACATGCTTCTCTGCTCCCTCATTCCTTCGTTTCTCGTACACAATTTGTACATAATTCCATGCAAAAGCTGTCTCCACTTCTGTGGCTAAGGTCAAAGTACTTCTAAATGGGAGGCTTGTGTTAGGTCTACACCGGGGTCACCAACCAGTACATTGGGATCTACCTGTTGATCTTGGAGCGTCTGACAGGTGATCCTGACTGGTTTGGCCAAGAGGCTATCAAGTGCTGGCAGTTCAGCTACCCCTTCCCCCTCTGCTGCTCATCTTCTGCCCTTTGCCTTGGAGCTGACCCTCCCCCTAGCAAGCCTCCTGCTTTCTGTGCAGGGCAGAGGAGGGAAAGGAGGGATGGGATGCTGATGTCAAGGTGCCCCCTCCCACTCTGTATCCTTTCTCCACAAAGCAGAGAGGGGACACAACAGGACTTGGGATGGAGTTTGCTGGCTGCTTTAGGGAGTGGTCCAAGCCCAGGGCAGAGGTGAGCCTGCCTTAGCCCCACTGCACCACCAACCAGGAGCCGCTAGCAGAGCCCAGCTGGAGCCCACATCCCAAACTCCTACCCCAGTCATGAGCCCCCTCCTACACTCCAAGCCCTGCATCCAAACGCCGTCCCAGAGCCTGCACCTAGAACCCCCTCCTACATCCCAACTGCCTGCCCCAAGCTCAGCTCAGAGACCCTCCCACATTCCAGATCCGTTAATCCAAGACCAGAGCCTGCACCCCAACGCTCTGCCCCAGCCTGATGAAAGTGAGGGAGGATGGGCAAGAGAGGGAGGATGGAGAGAGCTGGGGCGGGGCCTTGGAGAAGGGGTGGGAAGGAGGTAGGGCAAGGGTATTTATATTTGAGGTAGATCTTGGATTGCATTTAAATTCAAAAAGTGATCTCATGCTTCAAAAGGTTGGAGTCCCCTGCTCTATGCAGTGGTGTGATTTTTTTTTTTTTTTTCCAGTCCTTGTTCCAGATTATACGTATCTACATGAATTAAATGGCCTCTTGGCTCAGGACAGCCGCATGATCATTCTGCCCACACAAGTGGAAGTTTTGGGTTTTTTCTAAAATTAGTTTTGGCTATCTGCAGAGTGATCTTTGATTCTTAATGACAGCTAAATTGTCTTTCATAAAATCACATTGCAGTATTTGTACTAACAGCAGTAATAGTTACACAGCAATCGGTTCATCCTTGATAAATTTGAAGGTATAACAAAAATGAGAAATAGGCTCTCAAAACTCAACCTCTTCTTCTTTCAGGCTTCAAAGATGATGACTTCTTGGGAGGTCGGGGTAGAGGAACTCGTCCTGGAGATCGTCGAACAGGCGCACCCCCAATGGCAGGTGGTGGGACTGGCCGCTTTAGAGATGGCCCTCCCATTCGTGGCGTTTCCATGGACTTCAGAGAACCAACAGAAGGTGGACAACGTGTATATTTTTTACTAAGTATCTCCAGTAAAACAAAACCTTAGCCTTTGCTCTGCAGAAGCGATGCATGTAAAATAGCTGAACATTTCAGAATGGTTTCTCTGCATTTGGTGTCTCACATCTTTCAATATTCTTTTTCCAGAGGAAAGAGCACAGCGGCCCCGACTTCAGCTCAAACCTCGAACAGTTGCTACTCCCCTCAATCAAGTAGCCAATCCTAACTCTGCTATCTTTGGTGGAGCCAAGCCCCGAGAGGAAACAGGAAAAGAGCAAGAATGAGCTTGGGGCTGAGGGAGTGGGAGTGGAGGGGCTGAGGGCGGGCAGGAGTATAAGCAAGACAGCACAGAGTGACTAGCTCTGCTGGAACGTCTACCCTGCAGTTACCATTCCTGCCATCTGATGCTTGTCCTCTTTGAAACCGAAAACACAGAGCTTGTGAATGCATGTCAGCTGTTAACAAGTGGTTTTTAGTACGTTCTTGGCTTCGCTGTATCTAGTGCCTGCTTTGTGCTAAGTTTTCCCTCTTCTGCTTTTCCTTCCAAGCAGCACACTGTTTCCAGCAGGTAAATCAGTGGCAGCTTCCACCATTGTGGCATCCTCTCTGGACAAAGGTGCTGCTTCACTTTCTTTCTTCTGGGTTTGTTTTACTTTAGAAGCACAGGTTAGACTTCATTATTGCTCTATATCATTTTCTTTTGATGTCCTCAGTGTTCCTTTTCTGACCCTGCATGTTTTGTTCTGTATTGCTGTGGCTCTAAAGAGGCTAAACTGAAGAGTCCTGGCAAGTTGAACAGCATCAGTAAGCTGTACAGCCCTGACAATGTAGAATTAAGTATGATATGCAACAGTGAATAATAAGATTACCATATTCAACAGCAGAGCTCCCTATGTCTAAGAAAATGAATTAGATTGTCCTCCTGTCCCATGCGAAGGGGAAATAGCACTTCTAAACAGATAGAAATAAAAGAGAAAAAAGATCTCTAATGAAGTACCTGTGCAATAGTGCAAGAGGTAATTCATGAGTCTGGCGGTACCTAGTAATTGATTTCACCAATCCATTGTGGCTCAGTCTACACGAACAAGTAATGCTTTTCTTTCGGTAGGCATACTAGATGGAAAGAGGCATCTGCCTTTAGGTTTTGCAATGTGCTGTCTACTTAATTCCCCAATGATATAATGCTACACACTTGAACTTGCAGATTGGTGCTATAAAGCTGTGTCTGTTCTAGCACATTACTACTGACTGGCTCTTTCTGCTTATTATTTCTCTTGAGTTTTACATGGTTGGTAAATTTTTAAATGACGTTTCTACAAATAAAGTTGACTTTTTTATTTTTGTTTTGTTTAAGGAGTGTATAATTTGCCACTCTTTACCTTCAGCCCCTACAAATCTTTGCCCATTGGTGCAGAGTTGAGAGGTTAATCTCTAAAATGAACAGATTTAATTTCTTTGCCATCATTTCATTCAATAAATTCTGCTTTGTAATGTATAGATTCAGGTAAATGGTATCTTTAAACAGATAGTAATAGTGTACCTCTTTGAACCTGAAAGATTTTGATGGGAGAGAGTGGGGAAGGACATATTGAATAGCGGCAGTGTTATAGAAACTTTGAGCGGTAACATTCTAAGTAATATTAAGAGGAGACTTACCCAGTGCATGAAAAGAACTCTTGGGTCCCAAACACCACTGCTGAGCATTTTCAGGTATGACACAATCAGCTTACCAGAGTACCTGCAAGAGGCCAAGAGCCGAGGAAGCATGGGTTGTACTGGATTTTTTTCATACTGTTACTTTGTAACATCAGTCTCTCAGCCATTTACAGAACTATCCTTCTTTCCTTCCTTCTGCCTGTCACTTAATCTGCTTCTGAGATAAGAACCATTTGTCTAACACTAATACTTAATTTAAGACAAAGACATGCATTTGTGTGGTTGTATTCCAAACCAATAATAGCCAACGACCTATTTGCATCTTCAATGTGGAAAAGATTTTATGAACAAAAAACTCCCATATAATCTCACTTCTCAATAAAGTTGACTTTTAAATGTAAAAAAGGAATTCCAAACACTTAACACATTCTGCTTCATAACAGAAAGTAAATTTATGAATATGGTATTTTGTGATGATCTTTTAAATAAAAGAAAACATTACATAATATTTAATGCTCATCTTTATTTGAATCCACTGGTTTTTAGCCCTCTGCAACATTGCATTAATTCTAAAGTTGTGGTCTGTCCATGTATTAGGGAAACTGTCACATTAGATGTGCATGCAGAATGGGTGTATCTGACAATAGCAAAGGAACATGTTGAGGTAGTCTCATTTAATAAAGCATTGTGAGCATTTTAAATGGCATAAAACTGATTGTAAATACAGTAACAATATTTGTTTACGTTTGAATTTGAATAGAACAATCCTAGTTTTTTCTCTGACTTAGGCTGAATTCTCCTGTTGGCGAAGGAAGTAAAGGCTGCTAGGTGGATGCAGAAATGAGAGCTGCAGTTCTAAAAGTTGGATGGCTCTTGGTTTAATTTAGTTCTGTTTCTCTTGTAGAGCATTTTACTAAAATTAAACAAGTTAACAGCCTTAAGGTGGCCAGATCTATGGACTTCTAGAATTTCTTATCTGATAAGCCACAAGGATCTTCTCATACTTGTCAGAACTCCAGTGGGAGAGATTTTTCTCTCTGCAGTGAAATAAGTGGTTGGGCAAGAATAGCTCATAAGCTTATCAGTCTTCAGTGTGATGACTTCCTCGTAAAGAAGTCTATTTTGTAACTTGTCTGTTAAAATGAAAAATGTACATGCCTGTTTTTATGGGGGTATTGTTCAAACATGACTGCCATAGTTTCTCTTAGGGACTGATTAAAAATTCAGGAGCATTTCAAATCCATATCTTCAGAAAGTGGGAAGCATGAAACACACACGGTTTTGAGAATCCTAGTAGCATAACTGAGACTCACAATAGGAATTGCAGTTCTTAGTACATGTGAAAACTAGGATTTACTGTACTGCTTGTTTGTGGGAATTCTGGAATTGAACGTCTGAAAAAACATTGGTGTATTGTTGTGCACTTCCCTGGGACTTTTTAGCTAAGTACAGTGTACTCATCACATTTAGTTGAAGGCAACTTATTTTTCTGAGACTGTACTGACCCTCTTCCCTAATGGATCAGTGCTAGTCCATTCTTCTAATGCATATTTGAGATGGAAGAGTCCATTGGTGCACCTTGGTAAGAGCATGTAGTCTCATAGAGAAACTTGGTATCTGGTTTTTGAGTATCGAGGTTTGTTATTCCTCTGCTCTGAAGTTTGAGGCAGGCTGAAACCTGTCAGGCACCAGGCAGGAAATTTGAGGTCTTCAACTTAATAAAATTATTTCCAGTTCTGAAGAATTAACTTCAGTGTTAGGCCATGTTCCATAATTATAGTTATCTTAAATGCTATGGATGTGTAATTAGTTATCAAAACTAATTTAAATATCCCACTGTTGGGCTGGATCACAAGTGGCAAACCTGAATACCCAAACAAATCGGGTGTCAAATATCTTATCCAGGCTCACCAGTCATGCTACTGGGCTGTGTCTATTCTGGCAAGTTTTTCCGCAAAAGCAGCTGCTTGTGCGGAAAAACTTTGCCCGCTGTCTTCACTGGCCGCTTGAATTTCCACAAGAACACTACTGATCTCATGTAAGAAATCAGTGCTTCTTGCGGAAATACTATGCTGCTCCCGTTCGGGCAAAAGGGCCAGTGTAGACAGCTCAGATTTGTTTGGCGCAAAAAAGCCCCGATCGTGAAAATGGCCATCTGGGCTTTCTTGCACAAAAGCGCATCTAGATTGGCACAGATGCTTTTCCGCAAAAAGTGCTTTTGCGGAAAAGCATCCGTGCCAATCCAGATGCTCTTTTCCGCAAATGCTTTTAACGGAAAACTTTTCTGTTAAGCATTTGCGGAAAATCATGCCGGTCTAGACGTAGCCCTGGGGTTTAACAAGCATCCCAGGGCATGGACTGAGCTACAAAAGGAGAGACTGCCGGATCTAATCATGGATTACTGAAGTGTATCACAATATGCAGTGTCATTCTATTCAAGGACACGTTTGCCGTGACCTGGATATTTGCTTTTAGTTTTGTTGGTGTTTTAGTGTGCTTTAGATAATGTGCATTTCATTTGCTAGCTAGGTACTGGTGGCGCACTAGGATAGTTTTATAAGAATATTTGTGTATATGTTTTAGCAAATGTAGAATGAGGTATCACTTTGGAGATACCCATAAGCATTCAGTTGGTCTCAGCTTTTGAGATTTTAATTTTAAATATAAAGCACTGGTGTTTTGATTTAATTCTTAAAATTGCAGGCTAAATTTGCAACGATTTATAATAATCAATCTCTTATCAGCCTAGTGGCTAAATCCCACACATTACATGCAATTTATCCAGAGTTTTGACGGGTTCAAAATGTTGTATTTTAAACCAGATGCTGTTGAAAGCATCCCTATCATTGGCCTTTCTGGTTACTGATGATGGGCTCCACGTGACAAACAAGTTCAGCAGCTTATTTTAAAGCAAAGTACTTTATAGTCCCACCCTCCATCCATTACAGAAACTGGCTTGAGCTGCAAGAGGCGTTTGAAATGGTGTGGAAGTATATCGCCAGGCCTGGGCAAAATGCGGCTACTGTCTTTATTTTGCACTTAGCTCCTCTTTCCACTGGGTGGTAGCATAGCGTACATCTTCAGCCAGTGTTGCCACTTTCCGTTACAGCCACATGGAGCATTAAGGCAGCGAGAAGGGTGAGCTGCGGGAAACGTGCTCTTGCTTAGTTGCAGTCAGTGCCGTTGTAACCTCTAGAGCCTTCGATCAGTCATGCCTAATTCTGTATGGCCTTCCAGGGCAAGTTGGTGGACTTTAGTACCTCTAGAAATCACCCCCAATCAGTATTTTCTATGGGACTTTAGACTACCCAAGTGGTGTGAACTGGCCCAAAGGAACGACCGAGCTAAGCGTTTCTAGGAAAACCTGAAACAGATATGCTTTTAAAAGTGTAATTGAGTCTAGGGTAGCTCCTTAGGCTGGGTCTGCAGTGTGAGCCAGAGCGGTGCTTCCCAGCTCCAATAGTGGGTCACTTGCTCTAGCTTTCCGTGAGCTAGCCCGGTAAAATGAGAAGCATTGCTGCGCTAGCATGGGCTCTGGTAAGCTGCAGCACAGGCTAGCCACCCTGTGAACAAATCCTTCGGGATGCCGTGTGGGTACGTGCTTTGGGCTACTCACCATTCTATTATGGCCACCCACTTTTTACTTGAGAGCTAGTGTACATTGGTTGAGTTGGGAATCGCACCCTTAGCTTCAAGTGTGGATATAACCTAACTTATCATGGTAGGTAACAGCATGAGGCTCCACCAGTGACCTTTAATCAGCCTTCGTTTGTACAGCTCTAGCTCTTATGCTGGATTTGTGAGAGAAGAAAAACCAGCCTGGCAGTTTCAAATTTGAGTGAACGGTTATTCTCTGACCTTCCTTTCAGGCAGGAAGAAGGCTGCCCGCTCTGCCCACTCTGTGCTGTATTCGAGAGGCCAGACAATGTATCCGGCGTCTCTGCTGCTTTTGAGGATGGGCTGTGCCCCATCAAGGACAAGCCAAAGCCTTGTCTTTCCTAGTCCCTGTTGCAGCTAGGTTATTGCCACATTTCCAGCTGCTTGTATAGGCAGCTGGGCTCTTGGCAAGTCCTAGGCCAGATGATTAGAAGTAGCTGGATGTTACCAGGTTAGTGACATTCCTGACCTGACATGATAGAAATGATAGAAAAATGCCACCTTCTGCTGAATGTATGCACAAAGCCCTGCCTGTTACAACGGACACTGCATGCCATTAATGTTAAATGTTGCACTTAATAAACTCCTCTCCCTGAGGAAAAGCATCCAATAGGTAGGTAATTATTAAAGTACATATAATACATATGCAGTTACATTTTTGGAGAATTCTGTGCAGCAAGGGGGGATGTTTTACAATGTGCCGTGGTTTTCTTAATTGTTTAAGTGTGTGTGTGCGCACTCTAATACGCAAATGCTTTGTTTCTGAAACATGAAAACGTGGCTTCCAGGAAAAGTTCTGAGGCAGTAAGTCAATGTCCTGCTGTGAGTGTTTGTAAGTCCTTCGCCATTATCACTGAGGAGAAACTAGGTCTCAAAAAACAACACTCTTCAAGCATTATAGAAACGTTGAATGGAATAAACTGACTGTTACCTAATTGCAGGCTTCCAGTCTGGAAAATGCTGCTGAAGCTGGAAGAAAGGGGTGTGGTTCAAGCACTGGACTGCAGCTTGGATCTTGGTTTAATTCCCAGTTCTAGCATAGCATGTCTGTGACCTTGGGCAAGTCACTTAATTCAGTGGTCCCCAACGCGGTGCCCGCAGGTACCATGGCACCCGCCGGGGCATTTATGTGCACCCACCTACCGCCACCCCGAGGTGCACGGTGCATGCTCAGCCCTACTGTTGGGTGGCCTGGCAGCCCCACATAGCGCCTACGTGCCGGCCCTGGGCCCACGGCACAAGGCGCTCGGGCAGCCCTAGCCCTGGGGCACATGCCGGTGCCGGGTGCAAGGGCATCCCCGCCCCTGGCGTGCCCCAGGACGCGTGGCCCTACCCCCGGGCGCCCGGCGCATGAGTGGCCCTGCCCCCAGGCGCCCGGGAGCCTCTATAGGTTGGGGACCACTGACTTAATTGTTCTGGGTTTCTGTATGCCTACATGTAAAATGGGGGTGGCAGTGCTCTCTGTTTAGGCTGGGGGCTATTTGAAGCAGGGACAGTCTCTTCCTATGTGTAAAAACGGGTAGTGAGCAACCTGTGGCCCATTGGGATTCTACACGAGGCCTGCGGACGTTTGCCCGTGGGCAGGGTTATCAGAGTCCACTGGTTTCCAGCCACCTAGGATTTTCTTACCTACCCGTATTACTAAAGCCAGTGCCTGTGATGTGTGGTGTGTACCAATTGCACACAACACAGACTGCGAGAGCCGTGCCTCCCTCTGCATGCAGTCCAAGCGCTGCTACGGTTCAATCAGCACATCCCACAAATTCCAGGGCCGCCAGCGCACTTAGTAAAGCTGCCCTGTCCCCGAAGACCATCTTGGTTACACCAGTCTTGTGGCCCCCTTAGATGAAGGAGGCAGCTAGCAGGCTGGGGCCCTGAATTCCATTGGCACTTCTAGGACTAGGTGCTATTGGGAATAGAAATAAACGGTACCGAAGTGTGGTAGCTATTCATTCCTAGTGCTGACTGGCTGGCCAAAGCGAAATAACGTCCCAGCACTGATTTGTTGGGGGGCTAAAAACAGTTCTTGCAGCACTATTTCAGTTTAGAAACTAGCTCTAGCAATCGTCATCTTTAGTGCGGTTTGCTGAGTTTCCCTTCCCCTTCCCCCCCCTCCCCCCGAAATAAAACGTTTCAGGGAGAGCCAGCGGGGAGACATCTGTCAGAACATGTGTGCATTTCTGCATCAGCCCAGGGGGCTGTCCAGCCCAGCAGCGGATGTTGGGTTTAATGATTCAGATCAGATGGTGACAGGAAACCAGAGACCTACTTCACAGTCCCCACGAGGAAACTGCTCCAGCCTTGCTGCTGCTGTGAGGGGGAGAGAGGACAATGGGGAGGCTGCAAAGAACCGGCTGATGCTACAGGTGAGAAGTGTTGGGAAGGGGGGTTGACTGGGAGTGAGTAGAGCCTGCTCCAGAGTCTTCCCATTTGGCTTCAGTGAGCTTTGGATCGGCCCCAAATTCAGCAATGATTTTAAGAGGGTGTTGGAACTTTGGATTTTCCCTCAAGTTCTTGCCTAGGACTGCCGCTGGGCTCCTGTCATGCCGTTGTGAGGCTCTGTGTGGCAGGGGTACAGGTGGTATGGAGCTAAATTAGTTGATGGGCCCCACCACGCAGAGAAGGTACCAAAGTATATTTTCTCCAGCAGCATTTTACTCACACTAAGAGCCTGCCCCCAAGGCTGTTAAACTCCTACCAGCTCTTTCCACTGCATTTGGGGCCCACTGTCAAAATGGCTTCACATCCCCTCACATCCCTGTCCTGCTGATTGAGCCTGGCTATGTTTGGTTTTATTATGCCCTTAATATTACAGCCTTATAATACACAATCTGCAGCAAGCCCAAGGTGTGGCTGGGTCCTGTTTATAAGTTATGTGCTAGGCTTATCTCGCTACCCCCCCCCCCCCCCCGGCAATCCAGCCATAGTGTCCTGGCTACGAGTCCTGACTTCAGGGCTCCAGCCCTATGGAGTCGGAGCTGTAGTTACCCTTTCTGGAGTTTCCTCCTTTCTTCATGGCTTGTGTGTGTGTGAATTGTCCTGCATACAAGATGCCTTGAAATATTTACCAGATTGAGTTAGGGGGGAAAAAAATCCTCTTTGTGCCAAGTTGTGCTAAAAGCCAGGACAGGTGTAAAATATTCTTGAGATCTAGGTTCACTGAGCTATGCCCCAGGGAGGTGAGCCAAATTTGGGTAACTAGAGAATGTTGTGCCACTGCCTCTGGGTATGTCCGAAAAAACTTCAATTACATCCACACTGCTTTCGATTTTCATGCGGAAGAATGCGATTGAACAGAGAGGATTTTCTGACATTGGTAATCCTCATTCTACGAGGAAGAAGACTTTTTTTTGAAAGAGCTCTTTCGGAAAAAGGCGTGTGTGGATGGGGAAAAGGGAGTTCTTTCAAAAGAAGAAGAAAGAGGAAAAAGCACAGGTGCCCCGGTAGCAACTCTGTCCATTATAATCATAGTGGAAATGCAAGACCACGTCCACAGTGAATCGGTTTTTCAATGCGCTTTTGCAGTGTGGATGCTTTCTTTCAGAAGAAGGTTTTCTGGAAGATCTCTTCCAAAAAAGCTTCTTCCAAAAGAAGCCTGCAGTCTAGACATAAGGGTTCACAGAAGTATTTTATTCCATATAAGCATGTGTGTGTCATTTGGAATGGCGCATACTTCCCAGGAGCTGTGGTGATGACTAATCATACAGCACGGCTTTAGTGTCGCCTGTGCCCTGACAAGAAATGGGCAGTTACTGGATAGTTTCTTATGTGAGTGTGCCATTGCGAAAGCACCGAGGTGAAAGGGTTTTTCTCTGGCATCTTCTAGCTGAGGCTGTCAAGGCACTTCACAAGATGCTGAAGAATTAACCAGTTCCTATTTGGAGGCACTTTGTCATCCTTTATTTCACCTGTGATCTGATTCCTCCTTTAGCTCTTTCTGTGCAGCTTCTACGTTTGCTGTAGTGCTCCCCTTTGCTATGTTAATTCATTCTTGCTCCAATAATTCCATGACATGGACATCCACCACCTGTATTTGACATACATCTGTCAGGGATGGTACTTGGTCCTGCTGTGAGGACAGGGGACTGGACTCGATGGCCTCTCATGGTCCCTTGTAGTTCTATGAGGGTATGTCTAGACTACATGGCTCCATCGACAGAGCCACGTAAACTAGTTTACCTGACATTGTCAATGAAACAGGAATTTAAATAATCCCCGCTTCATTAAAATAAAAATGGCCTCTGCTCTGTGCCAACAATCAGCTGATCTGGCACAGCACGGCAGTCTAGACGTGGATCAGTCGACAGGGAAGCCTTTATCGACCGCTCCTGTAAACCTTGTTTCACAAAGCATAAGGGAACAGTCGACAAAGGCTTCCCTTGTCGACTGATCTGCATATTGACTGCCGCACTGTGCCGACGATCAGCAGATTGCTGGCACAGCGCGGCGGCCATTTTTATTTTAATCATAGAATCATAGAATAATAGGACTGGAAGGGACCTCGAGAGGTCATCGAGTCCAGCCCCCCGCCCTCAAGGCAGGACCAAGCTCTGTCTACACCATCCCTGACAGATGTCTATCTAACCTGTTCTTAAATATCTCCAGAGAGGGAGATTCCACCACCTCCCTTGGCAATTTATTCCAATATTTGACCACCCTGGGGATTATTTAAATTCCTGCTTCATTGACTATATCAGGTAAACTAGTTTACATGGCCTTGGTGATGGAGCCATGTAGTCTAGACATAACCTGAGAGAGGTATATCTCCATATATTTTGGGGGTGAGGGATAGCTCAGTGGTTTGAGCATTGACCTGCTAAAACCAGGGTTGTGAGTTCAATTCTTGACGGGGGCTATATTAGGGCAAATCTGTCAGTGTTGAGTTCCTTTATAGAGGCAACTACAGCGGGCAGTGGGGCACGTATAATACATCCAAATGGAATGTCATGTGTGAGGGGCAGTTGTCTGTTTATTCATGACTTTTTAAATACATGTAGATTCAGGGAACTCTCTTCTCAGGAGGAGGTAGTGTGGGTGCATTTGGATGGAGAGTGGCTGTTGCCTATTTAAAAAAAATTAAACGAAACCACAATTCATGTGATTTTCATGCAATCTGTCAGAATCTGTTAATTGCGGCTCTGTGAAAGTGATAATTTGCCAATTCAAATGTTTGTAGAATCACAAACACATTGGATTGGAAGTGGAGTATTTATCTTAATTATTCCATCTATAGTATCCATGTGTCCATTCCTCTCTTGGCACAAAATGCAAATGTGGTGTCTACTTGAACATCTGCCCAGGGCTAGCTGGAAAGCATCTGCGTAAAATACAGCTCTAGCTTAAGTGGATGCAACTCTTTTTGTTTCCAATTAGGAACTATGCGATGAATTCAGTCTGTTTTCCTTGACAGTGTTGTTGTTTGTGTTACAGTGGGGCCCAAAGGTGTCAGAAAGGCTCAGGACCCTGACGTGTCAGGTGCTGCACAAATACAGATCAGGGTTTATTTTGGCTGCTGGGATTTTCCCCAAAATTCCAACTGATTTTAGAGGTGGTTGGAGCCAGTGCAGATGACCTTCTGGCAGCCAGATCGTTTTCTGTAACTGGTTCTGAAGGCTTAATTACAAACTGGTTATAAAACCAGTGGCAATCACTGCAACCTGGCCTATCCTAGGACTCGGACAGCTTTTTAAACAGGTTGGAATTGCTGGGTAAATAGCTAGTATAAAGATGGTGAGAGGAAAGGGTCTGTCTCTGGAACTTTTTGAAGCTCCTGAGTAGTGTTCCCTGTAAAGTGGGCCCACTGGGCGGTTCTTTGTTCCTTCAGGTGGTGCCCGTTGGCACGTGCCTTGGTGCACATCAATTATTTTGCACGTGGATGGAAAAAAATCTGCACTTGGGTGGGAAAGATTAGAGGTAACGTTGGTGTGAGGAAGGGAAAGACACGTTTATGCTACAGACTGGCTGTGTTAGCCAGGACCGGGCAGTGGTGTGATCCCCAGCCAACACGGCTGAGCTGGTAGGAGTCCCAAGCAAAGACCGTTACCTTGGCCAAGTAGCACTTTCCCACTCCCATGTATTTCTCTCATGGGGCAGTGTGAGCGGTGACTTCAGTATCTCAATACAAAGCACAGTTCTGCCAGCAAAGCTGCACTCACACAGCTGCACTTTGCCATGGTAGCAAACCAGAATCCTCGTACCAGTCAACGGCTCCTGGTGTGTAGTCGGGGGAGTGTTACCGTTCCCGGAGTAAGGCTTTTTTTATCAACCAAATCCGTCCCACAAATCACCCAACCCACCTAAATTCCTCTCGTTTTATGAAAATGCGGCAGTAGCGGGGGAGGGGAGCTTGCAGGCAGAAGCCCACATCTTATAGATGAGATTTACACCTGCCTCGTGGATCCGTTTCAGCCGTTCTCTTGCTATCGGGACAATGTGGTGCTTCCACCGGCCCTACTATTACGATTTCATGGGGACTCTTCTCGGACCTGACTGTAGGATCAGGCCGAAACGTCCAACTGCTGAGATGCCGTGAACCACAGCAGCCCAGCTCACACAGCCTAGCTAGTGTAGACTGAAGCACTCTTGAAAACTTCTCTAGTTCATCTCCATTCTCATGAGCGTCTTTGTTTAGGCAGAACACTGCAGTTTTTGCGGGGGTGGGGGAGAGAACTCCAGCTGGGCTCCTTGCTCTGAAATGCAGGCCTGCTATGGAAAAGAAACATTTGTCTCCATCCCGCTCCTGCTCTGGGTGGAATAATCACTTCACTAGAGTAAGAAACTCCTCCAGGAAGTGTCCTGCAGCGTGTGAATGATTCACAGAGGGCTGCTAACCCTTGTTCAGCCTCTTACCCCGTTTAAATGGAGGCATTAGGACAAACTGGCTATTAATGGTTCCCGGTGCTTTCAGGGGTCTCGTTTGCGTGAGGACCCATGACCGATCAAAGGGAAGCTTGAGCAACTTCAAAACAGGCCACACCCGCAGAGCTATCTCTTCCTGATACTCGACAAGAAGCCAAGCAGCCCCCAACTACGGGAGTCGTGCTTTCTAGCCGTACTCCCGCTTCGCAAATGGCCCTTGTCCTCATGGCCCCTCTGCATCCCCTCGTGCCCTGAAGTCCCCTGCCAGGGTGTGTTGGAAACCCAGACTGAAATCAGAGGTCGGTCTGTATCTGCAAAAACAACGAGGAGGCCTGTGGTACTTCTAAAGACAAACTGATTTCTTTGGGGATCACCTTGCGTGGGCAAAAGCCCCACTTGGTCCGGCGGAAGGAAGAGTTCAGCCTTTCGAAGAGCCAGCCCGATGAGTCCTCTTCCTCAAAACGCTGAGCAAACGTTACCAGCCTCGCTCTGCCTGCTCATAAATCCC